GCATCCCCGTGGATGGTGCACACCCACCTGCTTCTGAAAATCCAGCCCTCATGCTCTTCCTATTTTCCTTGGGCTGGCATGGAAGGGGATCCATAAAGAGGTTCCCAACGGTCTTGTAAGGGCTTGTTTTAAGCACAGGTTGGTCAGGAGTATCATCTAAGATGCTGTAAGAATAAATCAGGGGTCCTGGCTGGGTTTTTTTCTGCTTTGCCAGAGGAGGAGGGCAGGATGAAGAGCAGAGAGCAAGCAGTGGCTTTAATTCTTTGAAAACAAGCTGGTATTATTTGCTAGTACAGCTGAGCGTGGGTGGCACTAATATGAAAGAAGAATAGTGAACCTGGGAGAACTTCCATGTGAAACAGGTCTAATAAGGGTGAAACTGGTTGCCTTGGGGGCTAAATGTGTTAGACATGAAAAATTCCTAGGGGAAAACAATGGGCTGATAAGTTTTATTCATGCTGTCTCATTAGGGAGAGGCGCCGTAGGAAAATAAGCAGATTAAAATTGGTATTCTTATCCTTCACAAATACATGGTTAATCTCTGGGACTCCCACCCACATGAGGCGTGCAGGTATTCCAACAGTTCAGGGCATTTACCAGGATCATAAGAACAGCCTGAATTTAAGTAACACAGATTCTTAAAAAGAAGGAGAAGAAATTGTTTGGAAGGAATGCACGTTCTTGTTTTGTTAACTGTATCTAATTAACAGAACAGGGAGGAAAATTCCTGCTTTTCAAACACTTTAGAAACAGCTTTGCAAAGTCTTCCTCTGAAGCTACCTTTGGTCTGTCCTGTACTGGACAGACCTTAATCTAATATGGCAATTCCATATATATATATATATCTATCTACAAACACCTTGATGGGAGAGACTGAGTAAAAGAAGCATGGCAAGAGGAAGAGAAGAAGAAACATAGATAGATTTTGAGTGGAAATGGGATGCTAACCATGATTTTTTGACTTTTAATTTTTTTTTTTGAGTTTGTTTCACTGCTTTCACGTGCTGTGCAACCAAAGCCTTGCATTCCAAGCTCTTTACTCTTGTTGGGAAGGCCTTGGATGACAGCCTGGCTACTGTTGCCAAACAGAAGACACCAGCTGTAGTCATCCTCCAGTGATTTGTGGGTAGTTTACCTAAACTGGATTAACTAGATTGCAGTTAATACAGTTGGAGGCATTGAAATTTTAGGCTGTCCTGGGTTAGCCAGGCCTGGCAGCGTGGGATCTGATGCTGACTTATCACCCTGAGCAGGAACAGAGCAAGAGTAGGAAGGCAGCTTGGCCATGCTTAAAGGCCCCCTCGCATGGCGGTGTGAGGCACAAATGGAATGATGCTGGAATGGATTCACCCAGCAATATGTTTTACTCTGTGTGGTGAAGTATCTTTAATCAGCAGAGCAGAAGCACAGCTTGGGGCTGTCTTTAGCAGGGTTAAAGGGCTCAGCACTTTGGCTTCTTCAGCTTCTTCTTCAGCTCCTTCCTCTGTCTCTGATTTTTTGTGTAATTTTGGACAGGCCACTTAATATCTCACTGGCTTAATAATGTGCAGGTATTTTGCTGTCTCCTCTCAGTGTTAGGAGAGTAAGTATATCATGAATAATGGAAGGGGAAAAAAAGTAGGCACTTTAGGCTAAGGGTAGCTCCTGCTTGCAAATGTTTTACATGTGTGCCTCTGGTTATGTCTCTCTCCTTGCAGGCAGAGATCAGAGCTAGATTTGCCATGTGGCATCACAAGATGATACGAAAAAAGCCATGTATTTTTCAGTAGGTAAGATGTAGAGCAAATGCTTTTGTTTCCTGCAGGACTGGTTGACATATTGGAGAATTAGCTTCAAGCCTCAGTTTGCAAATGCTGAGTTGTTAAGTGCATGCAGGGGAGCAGAGCTGAGATTTCTTGCTGTTGCTGGCAGCTCCCCTTTCATCATCAGCAGCAAACCAAGGTTTTGAAGCAGTCAGGCCCTCCAAACCCACACGATGGAACTCACATCTGATACATGGCCCGCCTGTCAAGCCTTGCCCTGAGAAGCTGCCTTGAAGATTGCAAATCCTGTGCAGAATAGATGGTGCAAAGGCAGCAATCAAGGCAACGTGTGAAAAGCTTCCCTCTGCAGCCTGCACAGTGACTGACCTATTCACAGACACCTCCCCTCTTAGCTTTTAGCTCTGCTAGACAATTTACTCTGTCTCAGCTGTCTCACTGCATTATGTCCTTCAAACCCCCCAGAATTAACGTTTGGAGCCAGCAAACAGTGCTGGCTCCACAAGAAAAGCTGGGAGTGGAAAGGTCGGGTCGATTAAAGCCCTTGATCAGAATCTTTAACATAAAGACGTCACAGGCAAAGCAGCAACGCTGCTTCACGCTCAGCTAAGAGCAAATGATTCATCAGGCAAGGCTGCTTATTTTTGGAGGATAGCCACAGAAGAGGAGAGAACACGCTGGCTGTATCGATCACGGCTGTAACAGGGCACCGCAGAGCCCTTCCCCGCTTCTGATGGAAATTTAATGTGGGGAATACATCATCCAGTGTAAATATATCAATATATGTTTTACATCCAATGGATTTTAAAAGTGTTCTGGCCCAGCTTAGCAGAATCATTCCGCCCTCTGCACAAATCTCAGGGCTGTCATTTAGAGCCAGGGGCTGGTTTGCAGTGGTCTGCACTGCTTGATGCTGTGCTGAAGATGCAACCATTTTGTGAGGACTTCTGGAGAAGCAGGTGTGCTCTGAAATCTCCAGTGCTTGGGCCTGGAAGGTAGACCTTCAGTGGGTGAAGATGTACCAGTGCTGAGCAGATGCACCCTAGAGGATGCTTTCATCTGGCTTATTCCCACTGCCTCCTGTGTCCAGAAATGTTTGGAAGTACTGCTGGAGCAGGCATTGCTGCCCAAGCAGCTGCACAGCCCTCGAGCAGAGAGCCCTGCAGTACCCCTGTCTGTCAGATCCCTGGTGGGAGCAGAGCAGGTCCCTGCAGGGGCAGAGGCAGCAGCCAGGAATGAGGGGCACGTGTTTGTGCATGGAGGTGGGATGCTCTGCTGTAGAAGCTGACAGCCTGAGGAAGGGATCCAGAAATCCAGATTCAAACCCTGTCCCTGTCAAAGGAGGATCATTCTGCTCTAGCACCAGCCCAGCGGTTTCCCTCCTTGCTTTCCCCTTCCTCCCCATCCCTGCCCCAGTGCTAGGTGATAAGTACTTCATTCATTTAATTCCCATGGAGCTTTGACATCAATGCATAGAACTCAGAGTTTACAAGAGTTCTTGGCAGCCAGGAGGGCCAGCTGTGTCCTGGGGTGCATCAGGCACAGCACTGCCAGAAGAGAAGGAGAACAGGGGCAAGTGGAGGTGGCAGCAGCCTGGCATGCAGGGGCTGCTGAGCTGGATTGCAAGAGTGGGTTTTTGGGGAGATGAAAGTCAGTGATGACCCTTTGGGTTGCTGAATCCAAGCCCTGTGGTCACTGGCAGCCAGAGCAGAGCCTCAGGAACTGGAGAACAGATGATCACATGTGATCCCCATGAACCCCAGCCCACAAAATGCTTCTCGGCACCTTGTGTACCCAAGACTGAGGGAGCAGGACAGCCTCTCTGATGCTGTGGCTGGAGGGATAGGAAAGGAAATGGCTTCAGCAGCAGTGTTTGGGATGCACTGAGGAGGGAGGGTGGGAGCAGAATTCATTACAGACCCAGAGGGTACATCTGTGTTGCATAATACTGTGCAGTGTGGGGACAGTCCCAGCTCTCTGTGCTTTGCTGGAGTCTAATTCCTGGAAAGGGTCTCAGGGCTGTGCTTGTGATTGTCTAAACAAGCTAGTTCCTTTATGGCTAGTGCAGGTACCTCTGCTCCACGTTGCATGCTGTAGAAATGCAAGCAGTTCCTGTGATTAAGAAGTTTTAAAATCATTCAAGGCGGACTCTGTGACAGAAATCCCATTGGCCACCAAAAGCAAAGGAGCATGACATGCAAAAGAAGCACTCCTGTGGCAAAGGTTCTGTGTGATCAGAAACACCCCACAGAGTGCAGTACTTGGCATTTTTTTCTGAGGCTCATGTTTCCTCTCTGGTGGTCTGCTACCTTTTGAGTCAATGCTCTCCTGATTTAGCCTGCAATGTTGTGTAGGATCTAACACATCCTCAGTCTGCAACTGTGACTCTACCAGCCCCTCTACAAAATTAACTCGGCTCTGAATTAGTCATTTGATGTGCTAGTGCATGGAAAATAGACTCAAGTGAATCAGATTTTGTGTGCAGGGACTGAACTGCAGTAAATACAGGGACTTGGAGAATCCCAGCCTTCATCTGGGCTGTCACATCCAGAGGGATCCTCCCAGCAAGCAGCACAGTGAGGTTTGCTGGAAACACTGCCTTTGCTGGTCGGAGCCCAGTGCAGAGGGCAGCCCCCTGGGCAGCTCAGGTGTGGCACCTGCAGATGCCAGGGATGCCTGCAGCAAGGTGTTTATGGAGGGACACTGATGAGGGGGATTCATCAGCACAGAAAGGCTGAGGGTCTCGGAGGTGTGGGCTGTAATTTTACAAGATTATTTGACTTGTGTGAAATGGCTGTTGGTTGGGGCAGAGGTGGCGTTGGAGATGCTCGGTTCAGGGCTGTCATCTGAACTGGACCTGGTGGGCCACAAACATGGACTCCCAACTTCCAGCAATCTGATCTTCTGACAGATGCTGTCTCCTCGGTCTGTTTTAAGGCCAGACAAGCTCAGATTTATCTGTGTCACAGAATCATAGAATGATTTGGGTTGGAAGGGATGTGAAAGCTCATCATGTTCCAATCCCCCTGCCATGGGCAGGGACACCTTCCAGTATCCCAGGTTGCTCAGGGCCCATCCAACCTGGCCTTGGACACTTCCAGGGACCTATCTGTACACGAACCCACAGTGTCTCAGCTTTTCTTGTTACTGGTATCTGTAAGAACTGTGGCTGGGCTGGTGATCTCTGGGTGTGACCGTGCCCCCCAGAGCAATCTAATCCTGGTATCTCTTTCTCTGCAGGGGGTGGAGGGAAACGCAAAGGCAAAAGCAAAAAGTGGAAGGAAATCCTGAAATTCCCTCACATCAGCCAGTGTGAAGATCTCCGAAGAACCATAGGTAAGAGCTTTTCCTTTCTTTGGAAGCGTTGCATCAGTAAAACTCAGTGCCTGCCCACCAGGACAGTGGCTGTAAAAAGGCATTCAGAAATGGATCCCCTCGTCACATCCTGCATTGCCTTCTAATAAGGAGCTCTTTATCAGGGAGGAAATGAGACTTGCTGATTGTAGTTGAAGGTTAGTGTTAATTACAGTCTGGATGTGATGCTTGAAGCAACAGGCAGTACCTCTACCAGGCAGGATTGCTCAGCAGCACCATCCTCTACTCAAACCACAACCACGGCGCTGCTTTATGTGGGTTTTTATAGGACATGTACATTTTTATTTTTTTTTTAAACTTAATTTGTTTTATCTGTGTGGGCCAAACACTGCAGATTTGGAAGGGAGCTTGCAATGGCCATTTTCATAGCACTGCCTTTCTCCTGCTCATGTGTGCCAAATTTTAGCATTTTTTTGGCTGCTGCCTTGGCAAACAAGGCTAGCAGCTATCTCCTTCTGCACTCTCCTCTGGAGAGCCCAGCATTACTGGTCTCACCACAAAAGGTTAACTTCAGCTTTTGAGGCTTCTTTTCTCCCCTGCACATCAAATCCAGCCACTGGCAAGGAATGAATGAAAGGCAAGAATCTGTAACAACTGAGATAACAGGCAGCATAATTTGTCTAACTTGGGTGAACTCCTGGGGTCTGAGTGACAGTGCCCTGGCACTATTTACCTTAGAAATTCACAGCGTGGTTATGCAGAGAAAATATGTGGAAAGTCTTTTCATGGTCTCCTTCAGTAACATTTCCTCCCCTCATCTTCTGCTGTAGAGCTCAAAGGAGGTAAAGAAAAGAGGGGAGGCAGTAGAAGAGGGTGTAGGTTTTCCCCAGTTTATGGCCACTCGACAAACACACAAACCCTGACCAATTTCTGAAGGTACAGAACCTGCTGGAAGCAAATCTGACTTCATATATTGTAATTTGCAAAAGGAATTCTCCTTTTTGTTCTGTCAGCCTTGGTTTCTACAGGGGGGGAAGTGGCTCCAGATAAAATGCTGCTCTTTGTGAAGGTGTAGTATCTTAAAATGAGTGGTCTTAAAAAAGTTAAGTCTGCCAGTGATTTCAGTTTCTGAAATGCTATTTCTGGCTTTTTTTTTTTTTTGCTTTTGTGTGTGTGTGTAAGCTTTGTCCTAAATGTAATTTGGTTTTGCATTTGTTTGTGTGAATGATTTGATGAAGTAACCGACCCTTGTGTGATCTCTGGGTGGATTTGGCTTCACGACAGTGATTACCTGTTGACTGGGAATTTTAGCAACTGACTTTTCCACAGTGGGAAATAAGGTCCAAATCCTCGTTCTGTGACTCTGGTTTTTATTGAGTAGCTGTCCTGCTGAGCTGGGTGTGATGACACAAGGAATGAGCTAAGCCTGAGTAAGGTCATCTGTCCTTGCTGGCTCTACCATTTTCAGTTAATCCAGCTGAGGTTGAAACATCCCAGACAAAGAGGTGTCTGAACTTCTCCTTGCTCACACAGGGTATCTGACACGCCTTGGAGGGGTGGCTCTACAGCATTAAGTGGTTTGCCTGTGTGTGGTTGACCTGAGGTGCTCAGGGTGGGCATCCAGGAACAAGTACTGGCAGTCTGGCCATAAACTGCTTCTTTTACTGCCTCTGCTGAGGAGGAACCATTTCCCTGCCTTTGACCCTTCATTTGTGGTTTTCTGCAAGTCCTTTAAAAGGATCTCAGGATTTCAGATCTCAGGTGTTTCCCCAGGTGATTTTTATCAGGGAATGTACTGAAAAGTCTGTCTTGGACCATCAACTGAACTGCTCTGTGACTTGCAGGGTATTCAAGTTCTTGGTGTGTCTGCCCATCAGTCCCTCCCCTACCGATTTCTGAACCCACCAGTCAGTGCTAGTAATGAAACAGAGACCCCAGAATGGCTTTTTCCTCCAAGGCCAGGTTGGATGGGGCTTTTAGTGGAAGGTCCCTGCCCAAGGCAGGGGGATTGGAACTCAGTGATCTTTCCAACCTTCCAACCCAAACCACGATTCTATGGTTCTAAACTTCATACAAGGAAAAGGCTACAGCCTAATTCAGTTTGTTTAGAGACCAAGACAAATATGGGCAGGTTCTGCTCCTCACAGACCTCTTTGCTGCCTGTCCACCTCCCAGCACTTTTGGTCAGACAGAGTCTTGCCACTTTGGTTAGCAAGAAAATCACACCGAGTCTTGGAGCGTTGCATGAACTGGAGCACCAGGCTGTTGAGGTTTTGTTGTACTCCTCTTTTTTGGATGCTTCCCAAGAGCCTCCAGGGAAAGGCTGGAGGCAGGGATGGGATGGACCTTTTGATTCAGACTGAGCATGGACTGCACAGTGCAGTTTAATGCAGCCAGAAGCAGTGGATGGAAAATGCTGCTGTTGTAGCTGTGGCACTGCAGCCTCCACGTGTGTGTAGCTGCCCACATTTTGGTGTAAAAACGTGTGTGCTCTTGCACCCCGCTAAGGTGTACTGAAAAGAGTCTGTGTCTCAAAAAAAAAATAGTGTAGTGTGAAAAGAAATCTGTGAAAAACAGGAAGGCTGAAATAAACCAAGGGGCTGCGACCTGTGTTGACACAATTATGAGTCAGTTCATACCTTTTGGTTACCTCTGTGTTTACAGGAGGCTCTGTGTTTGACTATCCATCATCTGGTGTCTTACTGAAAGGCTTGCTTAGTAAAGCCCTTTTTTTTCCCCTCCTTCTTGAGCACAGAAATAAAAATGAAAACACCCGAGAGAAACACTGCTTTTTGATAAATAAACAAACACTGGAAACGTCTTTATTAAAAGTGCCATTTAGCCAAGGAGCTATTTTTTTGGATTGCACTTGAAAGCAACTTCTTTTCTCCTTTCTTTTTTGTCCAAAGTATGCAACACCTTTTGCTGGGAAATTCAGTGGCCTTCATTGTGTGCTAATTAAATAGGCAGGGGGAGCAGGGATGCTACACTGATAGCTTTACTGGGCTGAGTGAGGCTTGTATACTCTGAGTGGCTAATATATGTTTCCATTTGCAGCCCTCTCCCTGGCTGTGTGTGATTGTATTAAAACAGCCAGCCCTTTGCAGGTTGGATAATTTCCATATTGGCATTAGAAGCCCTTTTCAAGGGACAAAAAGTGATGTTTGAGACACTACTGACCGTGACTCGTGTGGTGGATGCTGCTGGTTAGGTGGGGTCCTGCTGCCTTTAAAGCTCAGAGGTGATAGCTTGGCAAAAGAGGGATGTTTTGAGGGGAAGAGGAAAACCAGCAAGGAGCAGCTTTAAAAGTTCCTGCATTTGACTCTGCACGAAGAGATGCCTCAAGTTGGAGAAACCCACTGGTTTAAAGGCCATCAGTAAGCAGAAGTATAAGAAAGAGCTGTAATTTTAAAGGCCAGAGTGTTGTTATGATGATAAAAGATTCTGGATGTCTGTGAATGCTTCTGAATGACGCAGAAGGTTCTCTTGGTTAAAAGTGTGGAATTTTTATTTATTTTGCTCAGACCCATTCTGTGCTTTTTTCTTCCGTAAAAAAAACCTGCTTGGGTGAAAGAGTTGATTTTTCTGATCTTTGGCAAATTTGCTTTCCCAACTGTCCAAATGCTATATAATAAATCAAGATTTTTTTTTTTTTCCCCCCCTCCCCCATAGATTGAAGCTTGTGGGGAAACTGCCACAGAACATGTCTGTGTTTGTTCCACAGAGTGATTTGTTGCATTATTGCAGAAAACTTTTCACTCCTTTGGTAAATCCATTTCTGACTGCGTACTGTGCTCAGATAGAAGAGAACTCTGAGGATTTCTTGTGTTAAATATTTATATTTAGTGAGATGTCACAGTCGGAAAGATCAGCCCCATTAATACTAATTTGTCCATTCTTGGTTTAAAAAGAGAAAAAAAAAAAAAGTCCTTCCTGTGCCATTTAACCTCTTAGGTGACATTTGCATCCCATATATCCAGGGTAAAAGTGGCTTGAGCTTCCAACTCTGGCAGGTTCTTTTCAGTGTTGTTAAAAATACACATCTGTAGAGATGGTGAACAGAGTGAAGTGGGACAAAATCGAAGCCACAGAGTTCACATGCTCTTTCTTCACAGGCAACTTTTTACAAAAGCTGGCTTTTTTTCCCCCCTTCACTTTTATCTGGGGTATTGTGCTTTCTTCAGACATGATCAAGACCTTCACCTACATCATTCTTTTTGGTCACTGTGGAGTTCTTTTACCTGGAGGCACACTGATGGTGCAGGCTCTGCAGTGGCACTCAGACCTACGTAAAGGAGGTTTGCTGAGCTGCCAGGGTGGGTGCTGATGGCAACCAAGGAGCTGCAGCGTGGACAGCAATGGCAGAGGGATGCTGGAGTATTTATCAGGCTTCCTAGAAATGCTTTGCAGCCTGCACTGAGCAACATCCTGTGGCAGAAAGGCTGCTGCTGTCCCCAGGTAGCTTGGGCCACCCTGCTCTGCCCCACGCTGCTGGGGTATCTTTCAGGAATTCTAAACACATGGGTGAGGGGTCTTGGGAAAGCAAAGCGTGATTTTCCAGGCTTGCTCCCGAGGGAATGCTGATTGAGGGATGATGTGCCTGTGTGGGACCCTGCCCTGCTCCAGCTGGGAGTGGACAGGTGGATAGATACACCCCCAGGGCTGTACCCACTCAGGGGTGGAGATGTGGCAGCAAAATGATGTGGCTCCACGTGCAGATCACACAATCTATGTGGCGGTGTCACATATAAAGTTCAGGCACTGAAAGTGGGAAAGAGAAGCCATCAAAGACCAGTCTGATCAAAACCACAAAGCCCATTTTCTCTCCACCATGTTTACAGTGATTAAAAGAGCGAGGTTGGGAAATGTAATCCTGAAGCCAGCAAATAGATCAAAGGAAGGAATTGCAGCTTGCCTTCCACTGTAAATAACCAAGCTCAGGTGGTTATAACTTCTGTGATTTGTTTTGTAGTATTGGTCTGAATACTACACCTAAGGCTGGTCTCAAAAACAACAACCTT